TAGTTCTCCAAAATTGGAGAAAATTCTCTACTGTAGTTCTCCAAAATCGGAGAAAATCCCCTAATGATCCCGCAAATTTGGAGAAAATTGGCACTACCAAAATTTTCAAATTCGGAGAAAGCTCCATTCAAATTTTTCCAAAGCAGGTGGGGGGTGACCCCCCAACCCCTCCCCCGGTCGCGCCGTCCCTGTATAGATCGTTTTCTTGAGAATTTTCAAAAATATTTTGTAGAGAAAAATCAGCTTGGAAGTCAGTAGTATGATTGCATAACGACGAATATAGGAAAACGTTGTCATGCACAATGAGCGCGATCGTGCCAATCAAATTCACATTTGAAAGAGGGTTTCAATATTGATATAGGTAGGGGATGTAGTGAACTATTGTAAAACAAATACATCACCTCAGAAAAGATGTTCTCGTATACTCGAAGATAATTATTTAGTGAGGATGAAATAAGTCGTGAGACTTTGTTGAAAACGACTTTTGAACGTGTTTTCACGATCATAAAGTAACATATCTTTCCATTAAAACATTACATTTTTATCGCTTTTTATATGAATGGTCATGAATGGTCAGAGTTCAAAGGATTATGTCAAGTTCTGATCAACAAATGCAATAAGTATTTAGAGTTTTTCAAGCTCAAGATCACCTACCAGATCTTGTTACAATGGCAGCTTCTTCTAATGATCTGATTGCTCTATCCGTCGTCTCAGTTTGTTTTACTTGAATTAGATGAATAATAGATTCTGTGTTATTATCATCAATAATGAGAATAGTTGATGGGTTTTCAAGCGTCTCTCGAATTTGTTTCATTTGTTCCATCCATTTCTTCAAATCTATTTCTGTATAATCATTTGATTGACGACCCAATTTTAATTCATTAGTCACTTGAGCCAGAGATGTCTTCAATTGTTGCTTTTTATCATCGAGATATTTTTGTATATCTATTCGAGCTTGCTCTGCTGCTGCTTGAATCTTCGCAATCGATTTTTGTTCCCAATCATTCACGTAAGATGGAAAATCATATGCAGCAATGTCTTCGATCAGATTCCGTTGAAGTAGATCACGTTCTTCCCCTAAATTGTCTATTTCTGTAGCAAGCTCTTGTCGATGTTCATTGAAGTGTTTTACACACAAGCATTGTTGACATCCACCACATGTGGCGACTCCTCCACCTTTATCACATTTGGTACATGGTTGTTTGACAGTAACTGATGCCATGTTCTCCTGCCTGAACAACGAAATATAAAGTTCTTTTTTTTTAGTGGCATCAACTACGTAATATCGTGACTTACAATTCAAATTGCAATACTCAAATGATGTGATTTCTTCCTTCTTGCAGATTAAAAACAAAAGAATGCAAATGACAACAACTTTCAGAAGAAGGCAAATAAATATTTTCGTTTTTATCACTTGGAAATTTGAAATAAAAAAGAGAAACGTATGAGTCACGATGAAAAAGAATTAGTAACAGTAAAGAAAATATTGTTTTGAATCATCAGTTATGTTACTGTCGTTTGCGAATGCAATTTAAACATTGTGAAGGCGGCGTAATGTAAGAGCGAAACTAATTGATAACATTCTATGTCATTACTTGAAATTTCGCACTGGCGTGATTGTGGGTGTTGCTCGAAAAACAAAGTCGCTCACACCCTTAAGACAAATCTTTATCTGTTTAACACATTGGCTTTGAAAAAAAAACAGCAGTCACTATTTGACTAATAGTGTTTTGCAAAATTTAGATCTACACTAAAAGATCTAATGAAGTTTTTTATTTCAAAATTTATTCTTGAATGTATTGTCATCATTTGTCATTCTTAATTAGATGTTAATCTGCAACGAAATTTAATAAAAGAAAAAAATAGTTTATGTATATTTATTCTGTATCGAGAATGGAAACAAAAAACAGAAAAACAAATATAAAATTTTGAGGGTGTTCAATTCCTATTGATATGAAAATAATATCAGAGATGGATGTTCTTTATTCAATGTTGAATGTTAATAATCTCAACGACTTCATATTATAGCACAAGAAAATATTTTCTCACTTGATGATCCAATACTTGAATGATTCTGCAGGGTGTGAGTGTGGGCGTAGGATCTTCTAAATGACACCCACACCCACCATCCTTCATAGACGTTCTGTTTGTAGATTTCTGAAAGTTATGTTCTCGGCGTTATAAAATTTCCAAGTTAACACAACTTTTAATATTCGTTTTGAAGAAATAACTACTTAAAAATTCGACATGACGAAAAAACAGATTTTTTTTTAGGATATGGGTGTGAGTCTTCTCTTCAGCCGCAATGACATTCCGGGCTCCCGTAGGAAAGATGCCGTTTCTGGCCGGAAAGCTAGGAAAAATGCTTGGAACTTCAAAGCAGGAAAATGAAAGTGACTGTAACCGGGCAAAACTGGCCATCATATCTGATCATCGTATTTCTGCTTCCAAGTTCCGACGATTTTCGCGCGTTTTCCGGTTGGAAAAGGTTCATATTTCTTTTTTCTGGATTAGCTTGACACATATACTTTACTAATCGCATTCATCTTTTACAAAAATATCGGAAGAAAAATATAAAATGGAATGCATATGCATCGCAACCGAAATGAAAACAAAACTGAGTTCTATTCATTCGAAAAAAAAGAATTTGCCTCTTGTTATCATTCATTCAAGAGACAATAAAAGAAGTAGTCAATTGTTTTTCTCAGAGTAATGCTAAAGGAATTACCTTTGACAAGCTCGAAATCGATTTGATTTGTACAAAATAAAGTTTTACTTGTGTAAAAAAATATTGGAATCAAATTTAACGATGAAATGAAATTAAAATTGATTGAACAGATGCTCATTTATAAACAAACATTTCTTGAGAAAATAGTAATCAAAAAATTTAGAATTAAATATAATATATAATTCAGTCAATTTCAATCAGAAAAAGTTTGAGTGTCATTTACATGATTTTATAGAATACGAATGAAGATGAGAACAATAGAATTCTATATAATATTAATGGTTAATCAGGAAAAAGTTGTAGAGTGGGCGAAAAATGTCTCATCATGCTCAGAGCAAGGACACAAGTACCTTTTTAAGCGGAACTCAACCATTCTTTTCTTGAAAATATATCATTTTGATTTTAATTGTATGCTTCTAATTTTAGTATGTTGTTTGAGTGATCATACTGATCAATATTTTACGTGAAAACGACTTGAAAAAATCTTTATACATGGATAATATGATTTCAAATGCATAATGTGTCATTATGATTCATGTCGATCATTATATATATATATATATTCTCATTCATATCACCCAATCATCTCAACGAAATTTTTTCTCTTACATATTGATTGACACAAAAATACCTGTATAGAACGAAAGAATCGAAATATTGTTCGAAAATTATACCATGTATTTTGCTTATCGTTCGTGTTCTTTCGCTAAAGAAAAACAACATAACTTTTCTGATTGGTACTGATGACATAAAAATAAGCGTGACTTTGTAAACACATCGTATAGCAACCATCAGTGCATGCTTCATTTTTCATGCAGTGCTAGATTGAGTCATGGGAGAATTACACAAGAAATATTCCTAGTGACTCTTTCTCCCGTTGTTTTTTTGTGTACTCAAAAAGTGAGTACACTCTAGAATCGGTTAGTGTGTCCGTCCGGCCGTTTACACGATAACTTTTGAAAGGAGAGTCAGATCATGATGAAATTTTCTACACAGTTTTGTCTTAACAATGTCTCGGTCGAGTTCGAAGATGAGCATGATGGGTGGGTGTGGATGTAGGATGTGGGTGTGGGTGGGTGTGGGTGTGGGGTGTGGATGTAGGATGTGGGTGTGGGTGGGTATGGAGTGTGGGTGGGTGTGGGTGTGGGGTGTGGGTGTGGGTGTAGATGTGGATGAAAATAACGTCAACACCCACCCACACCCACACCCCACACTCACACCCACACATACACACCCCACACTCTCACACCCACACCCACACGCTCACACCCACACCCACACTCCCACCCTCCCTCGTAAGTAGGAATTCACCATTCAATAAATGGGAGTGCATCGAATCGTGTCTTGCAGATTTTCTGATATGTTTTTCAGAGAGTTCTGGTTTGAACGTTATAGAAATTCATCTAAAGCATGAAGTCATCACAATGGATTTTCAATTTGGAGACATCTATTACAACTATCGATGAAAGATCTGTAAAACAGGGCCAATCGAACACTATTAGAACCCGTTCGTAATGCATCATAGGCATTTATTTGCGAGAGGTTAAGCAATTTTTTAATAAAATTAGCAGAAAAGTTTGCTTTTCGTTGTATTGGAGTAAAAGTTTACTCTATAAATCCATCTAAAAACGTATGTTTTTTGAATAAATCGGAAAAAATTCAAAAAATGTGTCAGAAATTCAATAAGACAGGACTTATTGCATTGTTACCTCCACCGTCCAATGGTGAACACCCCATATTTCTACTATGCTCCCATCGAAAGATACTTATGTCTCTTTATTTGAAATGAATATTACACAGTAATTTTCAACTGCAGTAATGATTGGAGCTAAGAATCTTCATAACTTTTCTTAGCTCCAGTTATAGTAAACTTGCTTCTTAGTTTGAGAACCACGAGCCTCTCTTCAATAAATATTCGTTTTTGTGATGGCAATAAGTTTTAAAAAATTGTGGCCCAATTGTTTTTTAATTGCCCATTGTTGCCCAATCCGCAGAATAGTTTAGTTGGGAAACGACCCAATGGCGAAAAATCCCTAGCTACGCCACTGATTCTCCCAATAATTAAACTGCTTCAGTATTGTGGACGTTTCAAAAGACATTAAGCTACCTAGACTACTTAACCCTTCTGTTGAATTGATGCTAGGGTTTTCTGCTGTGTGTGTGTAGGTATGAGTTAACAGAAGGCCTTCACCCAGACCAGTATGTCTTATCGACAATGGTGGATAATTACTGGTTTTTAATTCACCAGCAACATCGCTTGATGATCATGTTTTGTGCAAATCGCGTAATGTTAAAATTTTAAGCTCTTTATATTTTTGAAACATTGATATTTAGTGAAAATAGGTAAAATATCAAAAGATTACAATGCCGAAACCAAAACTCTCGAAAGAAAAATCACAGAAATTCATCAGAAACGAATGATGAAGGATATGGGTGTGGGTGAATGGATGGATGAGGAGAAGATCTATACATAAACATCTCACCCAACCACACCCACAGCCATTCACTCATATATCTATGGTGAAAGCTCATTTTTTTTTATTTTGCAAAGTTTCACTATGATATCATGAGTGATAGTTTCATCGTAAACTCAACCTTACTGTTCTTCATACAAAACTTACACGTGTAAAACTAGTTCTGTTTGATTACAGACTTTGTTTTTTTCATTTAGTTTTTGTTCCAAAAATATAGAAAAAAAACATTGTTTCGAATAGGTGTTTTTCATTTAACAAACTCATTTGTTTTCATATTAATTGTCTTAGTTTTTATCATTGTATCTGATTTCTATTTTTTCCTGCTTATTCGTAATATCTTTTCGTAAACAGAGCTATGTGCAAAACAAAAAGAAAAGTCGCATTTGTTTATCTTGTTTCCATTGTCTCTATTAATGAATTTGATCGTCGTTATTCTTTCTCTCGAATAATGTGAATATTAACTATATTTGATAACAATGTGAAGAAAAATCGAATTATATCGGCAGTCTACTTACGCTCAAATTAAGTCTTCTACGTTCGATGATCGTTTTGGTTTGATTAATGATGCAATGTATTGCGTATAAATTGCTGAATGAAAGTCGCTGGGTTTTTTCCAACCAACGCTTTTTTTCTCAAGTACTGTTCTACTCGTGATGTTTTTTTTTCACCTTTCTTCTGTCTTGCCGATGTCATATGGTAAGCAACGGTATGTCTCTACTTCCGAACGAAATTTTATAGGAGTATGGAGGACAGAAAGGTAAAAAAAAAAGTAACAACAACAATCATAAGTAAGATTAATAAAAAAAGATCATCAGGATTCTTTCAATTCTTCTGACTGATAAACTGGACAAATTCGTCAAATCATATTGATTCTCTAAAGATCTAATGCACTTTGTATCATTCAATGTGAACAATTTTCAATATGATTTCATTTCTTCGCTTGATACGTTTTGTTTTATCTTTACATGAACAAATAAATAAATAAAAAAAGGGCAGGCATGAAAAGAAAAACAAGAGGGC